AAATTGATATGACTATGAGCCGAGCTCTAGCATGGAGAACATGAGTTAATTACAAATGAATAACATCTTGGATTGAGGGTCTTGGAAATTGAAACTTTGATTATACTTAGTATAGTTGTCATTGTACTTGTCAAATGCTTCCAAGTACTGACCTCCCCTTCACGGGGGAGGCCACCTCACAGTTTCAGGTAGGGAGTAGAGCTTGCTACTACCGCTCGTTGCTTCGGGGAATTCAAGGAGGAAGGCGGGGTTCGTGCTTCTCCTGTTTCTGTTTTGAAAACAATTTAAATAATGCTCATGGATATTACTTTTTTTAAATATTTATTTGGGGGCTTGTATGCCCATGTTTGCCAAGGTGTGGCATGAACGCTTGTATTAAATGTTTCCGCTGCTTTAAATGAATATTTTACATTATGTTTGTTTACGGATGTACTATGTGTGAATGATATTCCAGACGCCTTGTATAGTATGGATGTGTTGGACTGCGGTTGACTATTCGTACTGTACGGCGGGTTGTTGACGTGTCCGGGAAGGTCCGGGGCGTGACAGATGTTTTGGCGGAATTTTTGTGTGGATAAACTAGACTTGATGGAGAACATGTCATAAAAGTTTCATTGAAAAATTCCACGCGGAAGGCGGCCAAACGCCGCCGTCCGGACGGCGGTTCCGGTCAGGAATTCCTGACCGGAAGAGTACTCTATATATATATAGACAAAAGTTCATGTCCGGAATTCCGGACAGGAACCGCCGTCCGGACGGCGGCCAAATATATATATACGGAAAAGATTTTTCCAGGCAGAGCTGAGGGACAGGATCCTCCGTCCGGCTGCCGCCGTTTGGGGTGGTTCCCGGTGGAGTTTTTTGATGAAATTTTTCTGGAATGTTCCTCATCAAGTCTAGTTTATCCACAAAATATTTCAGCTAATAATTCGATCAGGAAGGCAGTCGAATAAGTTTTTGAAACATAACTGCATTTTATATGTTTAATTTGGCGCAGTCAAAAAATTATTTGACTGCCTTTCCGATCGAATTTTTAGCTGAATATTTTTGTGGATAAACAAGACTTGATGAGGAACATTCCAAAAAAATTTCATAAAAAACTCCACCGGGAACCAACCCAAACGGCGGCGGCCGGACAGAAGATCCTGTCCCTCCGGCTAGACAGGATCATTCCTATATATATATATATATACATATTCCGGACCAGTTAACTTGCAAAAATTATTTGACGACCTTCCCGATTGAGTTTTTGGCTGAATTTTTTTGTGGATAAACTAGACTTGATGGAGAACATGTCATAAACATTTCATCTAAAAAAGCCATCGGGAAGGCGGCCAAACGCCGCGGTCCGGACGGTGGTTCCGGTCAGGAACTCCTGACCTGAACATTTGTGTGTGTATATATAATATATATATATATATATATATATATATATATATATATATATATATATAGAGAGAGAGAGAGAGAGAGAGAGAGAGAGAGAGAGAGAGAGAGAGAGAGAGAGAGAGAGAGAGAGAGAGGAATGTTCAGGTCCGAACATTCCCCGTCCGAGCACCGTCCGAACATGGACGTTTGGGACACTTCCCGGTGGAATTTTTTGATGAATTTTTTTGAGCAAGTTCCTCATCAAGTCTAGTTTGTTCATACCAAATTTCAGATCAAAATTCGATCGGGAAGGCATTCAAATCATTTTTTGAGTTGACTACGTCAAAATATACATATAAAAACGCAGTCAACTTCAAAAAATGATTTGAATGCCTTCCCAATCGAATTTTGAGCTGAAATTTGGTATGGACAAATTAGACTTGATGAGGAACATGCTAAAAAAATTGCATCAAAAAATTCCACCGGGAAGGACCCCAAACGTGGATGTTCGGACGGAGGGTCCTGTCCGAACGTTCGGACCTGATCATTCTTGTATATATATATATATATATATATATATATATATATATATATATATATATATATATATATATATATATATATATATATATATATATATATATATATATATATATATATATATATATATATATATATAGTAAGGTTCAAGTGAGAAGAACCCTTTAAGTGAGAAGTGAGAATGAATCTCAGTCATTGGATTTGACTAAGTTGCAGTAAAAGACACTTCATGATGCACTGAAATATGCAATCTAGCACAGTGACATTTCTGTAAATACTTCTGAAAATTTCATATTGGACTTGTCTAGTGCAACATGAAGCTATTTCGGTGCAACGCTGTCAAATATTAGTGCAACATGAAGCAGTTTTAGTGCAACATTCTAAAATTTAAATATTACTGCAACATAAAGCCATTTTTTAGACAACTTCGTAAATCTAAAGCCTGAGATTAATTCTAATTTCTCACATTAGATGTATTTCTCACTTGAACCAAAATCTACAAGTGAGAAATGCATCTAATGTGAGAAATGACAATGAATCTCAGCCGTTAGATTTACGAAGCTGCACTAAAAATGGCTTAATGTTGCAGTAATATTTAAATTTTACAATGTTGCACTAAAACTGCGTCATGTTGCTCTAATATTTGACGGCGTTCCACTGAAATAGCTTCATGTTGCACTAGACAAGTCCAATACGAAATTTTCAGAAGTATTTACAGAAATGCCACTGTGCTAGATTGCATATTTCAGTGCATCATGAAGTGTCTTTTACTGCAGCTTAGTCGAATCCAATGACTGAGATTCATTCTCATTTCTCACCTAAAGGGTTCTTCTCACTTGAACCGTACCCTATATATATAGGGTTATTTTGGACATTTGAATGTTAAACAGTGTTTTAAATCTTTTGAAGTAAACATGAGCTTACAACACTGCTTATTTTATGCGCCGCTTATTAACACGAGTCTTAATAAGCATCGTTTAGTAACTTGTGAAGTAAACATGTCCTTAGTGTTAGGCTCGGGCACATATACTTGAGCCTCAGAGTATCGAAAATGTTCCTGTATCCGCAATTATTAAAAGTTTTCATTTTGTTTGGTAATTATTACTAAAATTTCGGGTACTCGTATCCGGATACGCGCATCAACTTAAAAAAAAGATCTTCCAAAAAACACACATTCAAAATTTACATAATAAAATTCTTAAAAATGTAAAGCTAAAAATAATTTTTACCTTGCTTTTATGTGGTACACAAGTAACACAACTAATGGACCTATTCCTAATTCACTCATCCTCCTATCCCTAATTGTAATTATCCCTGGAAATTAATAGTTCCAACGAAAATATGTATTAGAACTTTTGAAATATTATTTTCTATCTTCATTATTCAAGAACTTTGATTACTTGCACTAGTGTAAATGAGATAAAATATGAATTTATTTCTAAGTATTTTGAAAATGTAAAAGGTTTCAATGCCATGATTGGGTAGACGTCAGAGGATAATATGAGTATTTCTTTTTTTAAAAAATGTATTTTTAAAATTTAAAAATACACTCCCTATAACTTTTAATATTTATTAATACACTCTCATAACTTTTAATATTTATAAATATGACCCCGTATCCGTATCCTATTTCTTTTGGTTTTGTCGTATCCCGTACCCGTTTCCGCGTTTCCGCGTACCTGTATCGGTGATACATATTGCAAATAAATGCTGTTCTTAACTGGACCAGGTTCGGTCGCAGAACAAAATAGACTATATCAAATCAAATTAAATATACCAAATCAGGCATGACATTGGTAAAAAATACATAGAACAAACATTTATTACATCAGAAAGAAGGGGAATGGATAGACGATTATGATACAGAAGAAGATGTTGTATATGTTGAAAATAACGATTGTGACAACGACTAATTGTGTTGTCGTAATTTCAAATTTAATTTTTTGACGTCGAATATTTGTGCTCTTTTCTTCATCATTATATTACTCCAACAATATTTGATTTTTTTCTTCATCATTATTATTTGTGAAATAATAATTACTCCATATTAATTCAACAACAACAAGTTTTTTATATCCATATTATAAATTCGAAATTAAAGCAAAAAAAAAAAATTCGAAATTTGAAAATTAATTTTAATAATTTGAAATATACAAAATTATCAAAATTCGAAAATTCAAAAATAATAATAATTTACTGAATATTATAATAATTTCAGATTTTAATAAATAACTAACACGAATTTATTTATCAAATTTAAAAGATAAGTACAAAACAACAATTTTCTTATCACAACCAACTAACAAACATTATTCATTTATCATAAGCAAACAAACAAATACAGAATTATTCATGAGCGTCAAAACTTTCAAGAGACCTAACCCACAACTCGTTAATTTTCCTTTGTGCTTCTGCGTTTATCGGGTCCATATACTCCACACAAGTTTTTTGCTTTTGATTTGTCGATTAAGTCAAACCGGTTCAAACAAAATCAGATTTACAGATCAAATCAGACTAAATCAGTTAACTTAATAATATCAGGAGCATAACATTTTACAAGAAAAATGACGATCTATAGAATTTTACATTTAGTAACATCATAGTATTCCATTTTACAAACTCCATCAAATTTCTCAATCTCATCAAATAATGTTACATATCGTTAAAGAGTCCCGTTCTTATCAGGAGTTCCTGAAGAGAAGCTCCGTGCGGACAAGACCATCCGAGGGTCTTCCCGGTGGAATTTTTTGATGAATTTTTTTTAGCATTGTCCTCATCAAGTCTAGTTTGTCCATACCAAATTTCAGCTCAAAGTTCCATCGGGAAGGCAGTCAAATAAATCCTGAAAACATACTGCACATTATATGTGCGCAGAATGCACCATATTTTTCCAGGATTTATTTGAATGCCTTCCCGATAGAATTTTGAGCTGAAATTTGGTATGAACAAACTAGACTTGATGATGAATGTGCTCAAAAAATTTCATAAAAATATTCTACCGGAAAGACCCTCTGATAGTCTGATGGTCTTGTCCGCACGGGGCTTCTCATCAAGAACTCCTGATGTGAACTTCCCTCTATCGTTGAAATCGTGTTAAAAATCTCCCACATACTAGACTCCGTACTATATCCTTTTGTTCGGATAGCATTGCAAGGAAAAAAGCGTAAGAAAAGAACATGAGGCAGGTTGATGCTGTCTGGTTTGAGGACTGCTACTTTCAAGCTCATTGAAAGAGAAAGGGATTCTACAAACCCTTCTTCCATCTGGGTGTTTCTCAATGGCTGCCACTTCTTCCGCTCTCAGCAGAACCTTATCGTGTTCACCTTCTCTATTTCTCTCCAAGCCCCATAACCGTCAAAACTCCCCGTTGTTAATTACACTTCCAGGCCGTCCTCATCATTTGGCGATTCGTGGCTGCTCCTCTGATTTGGGCCCCTATCACGACCCCATTAGCGTCAGGTACGTCACTGCGCAGGTGATTATGGGTCGCTTGCACATTCTTCCATTGAAATTGCCTTGTAGCCAGAAACAGATAAGTGACTTAAGTCCTTTCTCTAATCTGGCTGAGAACCAATTTGGCAACGTGATAGAAATTCTTTCTCATGTTAAATTTCATCCTAACCCCCCCATTTGTGATTTACAGTCCTCAACTTCAAATGTTTCATGGAAGCTAGTTTGATGCTGTGCTCATATGCATATAATAACACCATATTACCATAATTTCACTTAAACATATGATGCTCTTTTGTGGAATCCTAGTAGGCAATGCTACAGAAATTGCTGCAGATAGGTGCTTAGCGGGTACACACAACCCTTATAGGAAGATAAAATAGCATGATGAGACCATGCATCAATACTTAAGTCACATTCGTTTCTAACTGGTTAAGGGATCATACTAAAACATGATAGGCTATTGTGAGTTTTGTTTAGTAGCTTTAGGTTCTGTTTGGATCAGGGAAATCCTTAGGAAATACGAAGTATGGTTTTAGGAAGGTAAGTTGCTGTGTTTTCTTTTACCTTTGAAACTGCGAAGTAAAATGAAATATGAATAACTGTTTTTTTACAAATGTTTAGAACTTAGATTGCTTAATCTCCATATAATACAAATGAAAAATTTAAGTTTGAGCACATAAAACAACAGCAACCAAGCTTTGATTCCAATTCAATGAGCTTGAATAAATACTAAACACAGATTTATTGAGTTTGAACCCATGCTATACTTCTCCCCATATTTTCCTTCCTTCCAATTTTTTCTCATATTTTCTTCTATATTTTCTTTAAACACTAGTAAATAGAAGTGGAGTGTTCACTATTAAACACTAGTTACGAGTGCATAGTTATTTGAGCATCTAAGAATGCCTATTTCCAAGGTTTCCCTTCATCCTAGTAGGCTAATTCTAGCAGGCGACTGCATAGGCTAATTCTTAAAACAATGCTCGAAGTAGACTTGTGTTTCAATTCTTTTGGAACTCTCTTTGAATTTTCTAATTGCGTGTTGGTTAGAGACTTAGAGCCTTAGATCATTTCAGAGAGGGAAGGGGTGTTACTTCTTTCTAAACAATTTCAACATCTAGCTGGTTAGAGATAGAATGAAGATAGAAAATTATATAGAAATACATGATCTAACTAATCATAGGGTTATTTCTACTCCAAATATACTAAATATAGATTAATTTTTCAAATAATAATCAATCCTTCCGTCTCCTCTCAGATACCAAACCAAACAAGTGCTAAGAGTACACTAGCACAGTCACTCTCAAGCCCATCTTAGCATTAATACCACTTACACTTGATTGATTTTCAAGTTACTACACCAGATTTGTCATTCTTTCTTCTTCTTCATTTCTGTCAACTTGGGCTTGCATAAACTTCAGTCTTCCAGTCTTTCTACATTACTTTTGTTTCCAGACATGCTTCTTTCCGACTTCCAGTAATTTGGCCTTTTCTTGTTTCGGTTTGTAATAGAAAATCCCAATTTTCTTCCACGACCCCGTTTGGTGTCATAATGGACAATGATACCCTGTCCAAACCATCATTCAGATGGCGTAGGGTTTTGCTTAAAGTAAGTGGTGAAGCACTAGCTGGAGATCAAATCCAAAATATTGACCCAAAGGTCAGATGGTTGCTCTATGTATTGCAGATGTATATGCAAGTCTGACTTTTCCCAAATATTGTAACAGTGAACTACTCTATTGTTATTCAGATCACAATGTCTATAGCGAGAGAGGTTGCATCTGTTACTAGACTTGGCATTGAGGTGATTGGTGACTTGGCGTTATCCCTCTTTTTCCTTCTGAAATGTTTCTGCACTTTGGAAATTATTTCTGCATTTGACGTTTTTTCTGTTTTGAATCTTACTAAATTGTGTTAAATGGTTTGTGGTTGAAAATTCAAATTAGTCTTTCTGAAGTATTAAATGTTTTCCGTTTTGCAAGCTGATTTTTTGAATAACTGGTGCAACTTTTCAGGTCGCGATTGTGGTCGGTGGAGGAAATATTTTTCGTGGATCATCATGGGCAGGAATTAGTGGCCTTGATCGCTCTTCTGCTGATTACATTGGGTACTTTCTAATGATTGATTACTTTCTTTTGTCTGGTGGTATTAGGCCCAACAATCAAATACTCCTTCCATCCCCCCAAAAAAAGACGCCTGATGAGACATTGCATTTTTCATGTAATTTCCAAAAAAGTGAGTAAAAGTTCGTTTTTTTAATTTTAGTTAACAAACCAATAAATTAAAAACGTATAAGTATGATTCTCAATGTATTGTGTCTGTATCTTCACAAATAGTAATGATGACCCTTGGTCAAAAGTATTCTCTTATATTTACGGCGGTAGTACATTTCCATCATTTGCAATGGAGCCAAAGATTCATTATTTTTTGGCTTGAGAATATGATGGAATAAAGCAAAATGGCTCACTAAACTGTCTGCGCTTCTTTGTTATGAAGCAGCAGTCAGTCCATGCAATTTTGGACGCGATTTTCACTACGGGTCATCCGGAAACAGTCTCTCTGTGCTTGTACAGGGGTAAGACTGCGTACATCCGACCCCCCCTTACCCCACCGTAGGTGGGAGCCTTTGCGGCACTGGGGTAAATGAAAATGAATGATTTACGGCGGTAGTACGATTTTATTTCAAGGAAAAAATTAATACAAGACAAACATAGTATCTGGTAGATGACACCCTCTTGTGATATAGGCAAAAGAATGGAATGTTGTGCTAAATCAGGAGCAGGGCCATAATCCAACGGTCCAACCTACCCAGTGTATTCACAAATATGGAATGGAGTTGACATGCTGAGTTGTAAATTGCCCGAGTTTCTACCTTACTAAAATTCCACCACATCTAACCTTAGTCATTACCATGGATCCAGAAATCAATGGCTTAGAACTATCGTGTGTATTTGTCTAATTCATAAGTTTTTCCCTGTACTTGTTGCTAACATTGTTTTGAAACACTCATTGTTCAGGATGTTAGCCACTGTTATGAATGCAATTTTTTTGCAAGCTACAATGGAAAGCATTGGCATCCCAACAAGAGTCCAGACTGCATTTAAAATGTCTGAAGTTGCTGAACCATATATACGTAGAAGAGCTGTCAGGCATCTCGAGAAGGGCAGAGTGGTAATATTTTCTGCTGGAACTGGAAACCCTTTCTTCACAACTGATACTGCAGCAGCCCTCCGCTGTGCTGAGAGTGAGTTGGTCTTTTTTAAAAAGTTTACTGAAATTATTTTCCAAAGACTTTTATTTAGGGCTTCATCTCTTTGGCTTAAAAAATGTTACACTATGACCTGATTTGAGTTTCGTAACATCTAGTCTGGTACTCTGGTCAGTTGTAATGTTTATAGTCCAATCAGAATGTTTACTTGTCTAGTTATTGTTTGAAACATAATATCCGATATGGAGTGCAATTTTTTATCATTGTGGTCTAGTCTTTTTTTTTGTCCGGTCTGTATATTTGTAATCTACTCTGATTGGCATTTGATTTATCTGTTTCCCTAGAAACAAACTGCCAAATGATTTTTTGTGGTTATCCATATTTTTGTTGATTTATATGTTTCTATATCCATGAAAAGGATGTTTTTGATCTCTAACCCTTATTTGATCTCCTGTTCACTTTTATAACCGAATCGTCAAGTAAATGCTGAGGTGGTGCTGAAAGCAACAAATGTTGATGGTGTTTATGATGAGGACCCTAAGCGAAACCCCGAGGCTCGTCTTCAGGACTCTCTTAGTTATCAAGATGTGATATCTAAAGATCTTTCTGTAATGGACATGACTGCTATTACGCTGTGCCAAGAGAACAATATTCCCGGTATGTCTGCTTTTATGTACTCCCTCCTCATTTCAGGGTTCTCATCTGGACGTCTCATGTCAAGGTTCCATTCGACTTTCGGAATAATTAACTCTCTTAAATGGCTACTTTATGATCACTTATTAAATTAGTACACCCTGGTGGCCTCTTGTCCTGGGAGCGGTCTTTTGTCTAAATGACAAGACATGCTACTTATACACCCTTGTGGTGGGATCCTTCCCAAAACCCTCGCCTTGCGAGGATGCCAATGAGCATCAGACTGCCTTATTATTAAATTTATTTAATATACCCATAACAATACTATTATCACCAATTACCCCATTTTGTTCTATATCTAGCCAAACTGCTTCGCAAACTATACTCAAATTACTTTATTCAACTATTGGCTAAAAATGTGTGCCATTTTCGAATGAGAACCTTCAAATGGGACTGGGGTAGTATTATTTATTGCAACATTCTTTTTTTTTACCACACATTCTTACCTGGATAAAAAGTGCTCCTAAAATATGGCATGAGAACTAACTGATGTAAGCTTTGGTTTATATAGTTGTTGTCTTTAACCTCAACAAACCGGGCAATATTGCTAAAGCCATTAAAGGAGAACGAGTCGGCACGTTGATTGGTGATACATGGAATTCTAAAGCAGCCATGGCGTAGAGCAATATCGCAACAACGTTTTGGCTAGTTGGTTGGTAAGGTGGAATTTACAGCCCAGGCCGGCCATGGAGTGGCGACTGGCGAGTAAGAAATAGGCCTTCGAATCTTAGTTTTTCCAGAACTGGACATTCTTCACTCATTTTTAATGGAATTTTTTTATTTTATAATACCTAGAAGTTATTTCATTGTATTTTCTACCTTTGCTCTTCACAGTTAGTGAAAGTAACCATTGCCCCCCTTAAATTAGGATTGATGTGTTATAGCTATACTTATGGATGGGATTTTTCCTAAAAACTAACTTAATACATTTAATTGATAAATATGTGATTAAAGTTATTATAAATACAATGTGATTAAAGTTGAATATACCATTATCACTAAAAGTTATTAATGTGGTCATTGCGAATACCATGTCACATTTTTCTCCATCGTCTTTGTTTTGTTCTTATACAAGTCATTTCATAAAAGCAAAAATTACTCGTAATGATAGCGGTTTGACAATAGTTGGTTGTGTTAGCTGTTTTGATTGGATGAATTAGCTTGTTGTCAGCAGTCGTTTGGTAAAATTAGTTGTTTAACAATAACTGTTTGAGTGTGAAAAGATGTATAAGGACAATAATATATATTTATTATTTGTAGGTATTTAGTATCAAAATAAGATTGCCTACAATTACTTATCGAGTATGGAGTAAATCACTCAAGTTTTATACAATAGTATGTTTAAAAATTGACCAAGTAAAGCTACACCTTGTCACCACAAATTAAATAAATTAAATAAAATAATTTATTTTGATACGTATAAAAGGAATGTATAAGGAATTCCCAAAGAACATAATTCATTTATATAACTATTACGTATATTTTTAATCAAGAAATAATATTTTACAAAAAAAATGCATAACGGTAGTCTATTAATTCCCCCAAAAAGGCAACAGAGTATGATGTTGCAAATAGATTAAAGAAAAAGGAAACGAACAGAAATTAATATAATAATTATACATATCTGGAGTATTGTTCTTTCAAAAAAAAATATCTGGAGTATTATACAAGAGCAAAAGTTTGAGTAATTAAATAGACAAGCATAGAACTATAGAAGTATAGAAGTATAGAAGTATCGATTGAGACCAACACAGGATTTAGGGCGTGAGTGGAGGGCAGCGAAAGGAATAAATGGAAGAGCTAAAGAGAAACGCTGCACCCCTCAGCGTTTTAAATTTCAGCTTCTTGGTCCTAATAAGTCAGGTTAATAAGCCAAAATCATAGTTATTTACCAAACAATAATCTTAGTTGTTTAGATGGTCAAAATCATAAATTTCAGTTAAAAAGCCAAATAGTGGCTGATGCCATTTTCCAAACAAGGTCTCAAGGTCCATAATCGAGTTGCCACATATTTGCCTATAAAAAAGGCTATAATATTTTCTACCTTTTCTATTTAGTGTAACTATTTGTTCTATTTTAATTTATAGCAATGTTGGCACATTTCTATTGTTGACGGGTTGAACAAACTTACAAAAGAATTTGAGTAAAGAGTCAATTTGTCCTCGAAGTTGCGTAAAAAGGGTCAAATAAGTCCTTATATAGAAGATTCTGTCCGCACGTGCCATTTGAGGCGGTTCCGGTGTATTTTTTGATAATTTTTTTTGAGCATCTTATTCATTAAGTCTAGTTTTTATACTTTTTTTTATAAAAAGTATGTACTTGTACAATCTCAGAACGATTGTACTGTTGGATTGTGAGAATGACACACCCATCTCATAACGATATGGTTATTGTCTTGTAAAATCAAAATCTCGTATGTACCAATGCACGAAACCAGAAATTCTCAAAGGGGGTTATTTTTCTCAGCTTCCTCTGCATTTTTTCTCCTCTCTGTCAACTGAAGTTCACCATAAACATTGATCTTATCTATTATCTATCGTCTTCTTTGCTTGTCTTCTTGTGGTTGCTCTTATCTCCATGCTTCTCTTATTCAAGCTTCATTTATGATTATCTATGTGAAGTTCATTTATAAGGATGAAAAACTATGTTTGAGGATGAAATTTGATATTCTTAATAATATTTGTTTGTTGTAACACCATTCTTTCGTTTGTTATTGAGTGGTTATTCACTTATTTCAGTGTAAATGGTGTAGGCACGTTTGAAAAATGGGTAAATGTAATATTGTGTGTGTTTATATAAATAGTTTTTATTTGATGTAAAAATTGACATATTTGATGAGTTATTATAAGGGAGTGTTTGCAACTGCTTCTACTAAAAAAAAGCATTTTTGGAGATGTAAGGAAAAAGTGATTAGTAGTAAAAGTTGATAGTGTTTGAGAAAAAAGTGATTTTGAAAAAAAAAAATTGATAGTGTTTGGTAAAATAAGTGTTTTTTGTGTAATAGATGAGCGACCAGGCAGGCGCAGACATGCTATATATTCATGAAGCGTTGACTAGACATTCTTCGATTTGAACTTGCAGAGGTTTGAACGATTCTCGGTGTCCATGCTTGTGATGATCGTTCAACTATATACATACGGAGTATTAGCATTTCACCCGCGGAATGTAATTTGTTGACACTATAAATATAAAAATTTATAAACAAATTCATAAAATTGTAAATATTATTAAAATATAAGTTATCACAAAGCAAGATTAAAAAAAAAATTATCACAAATCATATATACTTTTGCGGACGTCCTTACTAAATGCTTCGTACTACGTAGAACTTTACCAAGTGTATAGTTTGTTAGAAGACGTTTTTATAAATGACATTTTTTGAAGGTTTTTTATTTTATTTTATTACATGTCGGATATCACAAACTTTAATATAGAAAGACCTCTCATAGAATTATTTCAACCAAATGAATAATTTTGAATTTCCCAAAGTTACTTCTTCATTAGAAAATGGTTCTATTGTAGGGAGATCACAAACTCATCCGTAATTATTATTTATTTCAACCAAACTAATCATCTAATCATTTAATGGCCCGTATTCTATACTACGTATTTCTGAGTTCACAATCAAAGCCCTATAAAGAAGTGTTGTAAAAAAAACCCTATAGAGAAGTACGAAGTAAGATGATTAGACTAAGAGGGCTAAAAGTGCACTAAGGATGTTTTCTTTTGAACTGTTTTCAGTCCCAGACCAGACCATACCAGACCAGATCAAACCAGACTTGCTTTCGTAGTTATAAAATACACAAAGACCAGACGTTTACCAGACTAAACCAGTCCAGACCAGACCAGCAAATTTAAGTCCAAAAGAAAACATCCTAGCTAAGAGGTGGAAATTAACAAAACAATATTTAGAACATTTATTTCAATCTACAAACTCATCCGGTTAAAATCCTCAGAAGATGTGAATCTAACTCTAGATGTCAAATGATTACACAAAAATCAATATCTAGTAAAACTGTTAAATTAAATTTCTGCCAGAAAAGGTAAAAGTAGAATAATAACACATGTAAATGATCCAACATAATTATGCTAAGAATATACAAGCACTAAATAGCTAGTGATGATGATGTTCTTTTTCCTTATTGTTGTCCTCCGCATGGCTACAATGTTCATTTTTCCAAAAAAAAAAAAAGATTGAGAGAACTTTGGGAGTATTTCACGTACAGAAAATATATATTCAAAAGCTCATTTGTGGTTCGGAGTATATTTTACATGACCTTTGTACTTGAAGTTTTCTTTTCTTTGGTGACTTTCACACACAACATTCTAAATTAAAGTGAAGAAAATAGAATGAAGTGTGCTTCAGATTATGCTCAAATGCTTATTTCATACAATAAAAATTTGTTCATACGATCAAATAAAGGATGGGGGGGATGGAAAAATAAGAATTGTCCTCAGGCATTGGAAAGCTATGCATATATAACCAACCTGATAAAAAGATAAAAATATAACCATTTTACCATTATTATTATTATTACAACTCATATACGGAGGAGTATATGTTACGTGAAATATGGTAAATTTATCTCACACTATTTTCTTATGACCAGTCTAGATGTCTAGACAAAGTTCTTTACAAAAATACTGTTCTCCACATTTCTTTTCGAAAATTTGAAGGGGAGTAAATGGAAGAAGGAAAGTGTATTATTTTTATGTATATATAGATTCCACATTTTCATATATTGGTGTGTTAGTGTGTACATATACCGCAATTACTAATTAATTAGTAATGTAATATGCCTCCGATTCTCCAACTTAATGGCCCTTGGGTCTTTTGACTCCATTTATGTGTTGTGAGGTGAGTTCAAAACCACATAAATTACATATAAAGAACAACGAATACTTGTTTGTCACATATTCACAATGGTCTTCACGAGTCTTGGTTAATCTTGGTCGGGGAACCTTTTCGTTTAAAACACATATATTTAAACATGTAGAGCCATCCGTTGTATCGGCTGTTTCTACTCATATTTATGAAGTTCTGGCTGAAGTGATTGTATTAGTTGATTCTGCTAGCTGATTTATGAAAAAATTATATTATAAATATATTTTATTAATAAATAAAGAAATATATATATATATATATATATATATATATATATATATATATATATATATATATATATATATATATATATAGATAGATAGATAAGAGATCACATACTAACCATGCTTAAAATACTAACTTACTAACTCAATAATATGCAACACATTGAACTTCAATATGCAGTACAAATAATGTAAAAGATGCACACTGTGAATTTCAATATGCAATAAAAACAATATGCAAAACTTTGAACTTTAATATGCAGTACAAATAATATGCAACACTTTGAACTTCAATATGCAGTACAAATAATGTAAAGATGCACCGTTTTTGATATATATAGGGTAAGGTTCAAGTGAGAAGAATCCTTTGGGTGAGAAATGAGAATGAATCTCAGCCATTGGATTCGACTAAGTTGCAGTAAAAGACACTTCATGATGCACTGAAATATGCATTCTAGCACGGTGACATTTCTGTAAATACTTCTGAAAAATCCGTATTACACGTGTCTAGTGCAACATGAAGCTATTTCGGTGCAACGCCGTCAAATATTAGTGCAACATGAAACAGTTTTAGTGCAACATGTGCAAAATTTAAATATTACTGCAACATAAAGCCAATTTTAGTGCAACTTCGTAAATCCAATGGCTGAGATTCATTCTCATTTCTCACATTAGATGCATTTCTCACCTGAACCAAAATCTATATATATATATATATATATATATATATATATAGACAAATCTTCATGTCAGGCCGGCTTGACGGGATGCTCTGTCCGGCCGAGGGTATTTCGGGTACTTCCCGTTGGAATTTTTTGATAAAATGTTTTGAGCATGTTCTTCATGAAGTCTAGTTTATGCATACCAAATCCAGCTCA